AGAGAGAGAGAGAATTATGTGTATATAATTATATATATAGACACCATTGATTTTTCTTTATTAACTCATTAGCACTTACCTCTACTTTTGATTTATGATGCTGATCTTCAGTAGTGGGAAAGAGAGACTACAATCTAGGTAGAAATCAGATATGTGCTGACTAAGAATAGATAAATAAATTCTGATTCTTTTAGTGAAGCAGTTAAAAGTATCAAGCCTATACAAATTCTGAACATGTCGACGATCAATCAGACACCGGAAACACGATAATATATACTATATACAGGATTACAGCAAAGACTTTATTCAGATTTGAAATTTATGTATATTCAAAATTCCGTTTTATAAAAGGGGCCCTAAGTAATTCATTATGGTATTCTCAAATTCTAGTAGTCTTCTTTTCAAAGTCTTAACTTATGTTTTATTTTTAATAAATGTTGCAGATGAGATTTGCTAAGCCAATTGACTTGTTTCAAAAGTTGTTGGAGAGCAACAAGATTGCAGAACAGCGATTGCTTGGATTAGATGTCGGGAACCGATATGTTGGACTGGCTATTTCAGATCCAGATAATAAGATTGCTTCACCTTTGAGGTATGGGAGGTTTCTTGCATTAAGTAAACTACATTTGATATAGGACGTAACTTCTTGTTGCTCTCATTTCCCACATGTGGGGCTTGTTTCTGTTAAATTTTAATAATTTGAGGTTCTCTTTGTTTCTTAAGTCTCTTAAACAAAAAGTGAAGCTTAAGTAAGGGATGATATCGAAACAATATGGGGGACCATGAGTCAGAATGCTGTTGAGACTCAAAATCAACAGCTTGCTAGTGGATATTCTTCCATTAGCTTATAGAATCCCAATCCTAGATCCCGGAACCCATAAATGTGATGAAGAGTCTATTATATGGTACACGTGTTTCTGTTGTTTATATTTTGCATTATATGTTTTTTGTGTTGCAATTTGGATTTTTGGTGATCTATGTGATGCCGGAGTCTTTTAATCTCAGCCTACTAATTCCTAAATCAACCATGACGATTAAGGGAAGGCTGGGAATTTCTAGCAATAAAGAAGATTTCTAGAAGCTAAATGTGTTGGTTTTATGTGGCCGTTAAACGCTTAGAGAGCTTGTAAGAAAAATGATGTATAGTGGAATATGCACTTTAGTGGGAGTGTGTGTTGACTGACCAAGGGTTGGGCAGTTTATAACCATGGTCATGTGTAAAGCCCTTCGCCCTAGGAATGCAGAACATCCAAGAAGGGTTTGAAGTGGTCATCCCTCGTTGAGGTCGGAGAGATGCCCAGGGATCATGTTTGTAGGCCGGGAGAACTGTATGGTGTCCTGTGTGCGGTTGTAGGCCTGTGAGAGCAAGGGCCAAATTCTCAACAAACTTCTGCACATGTACATATGATAGTCGCATGGGAAGCAACTCTTTTTATAAGGACACGTGTACATATGCATTGAGAGAGCCCCTTTTGCATTGTAGTGACAAGGGCTAGACTTGCTCTTAAAGGGGGGAACTGTAATCCACATTTTAGGATCATAATCCCATTGTTTTATTATCTAACGTTGACAAGCCAAATCATGAGCCCTTGCAAAGAGATTGTGGGTTATAGGACGTTGTTAGATTGGATAAGAGAACATTTATGGATCATGGTTTCTGGGTAGAGCGGAGCACCTTTTAGTGTCGCTTATGTTGACCCATTGGTACCAGTTCACTCCTAGTATATTTTATTTTAGTATTATAAATCTTTCTTTTGATTTTTAAATATTTTTCTACATTTTAAAATATTGTTCTTGTTGTAAATTTTCATAAAAGGGTATTTCTGAAAATTTTAGAACTTTAAAAATAACACATGTGGGAGCAAGGATCCAGCCCCACATGTGACACTTCGTGCACCCTAGGGACCATAACCCTATTTCGGTACAACAATATTTGGTACACCCTATTTTATTGTTGAAGGGGGTGTCACGCCACTAATTTTTGTAAGGAGTGTCATGCCACATATTCTTACAAAGAGGGTGGGGGGGCACGTTTTTCTTTATGGGAAAAGGGGGGCATGCCCCTTTTTGTGGCACAATCCCCCCCACACCTTTTTTTTTTGGGAAAGGGTGGCACGCTCAAATATGGAGGCACGCCACTTTTAATGGAATAGGCATACCCTATTCAATTTGATTTGTTTCAAATTTAAATTTGCTAAGTTTGAAATCTAACGAGATATGGTTTCCCAAATATTGTGGGAAATCTAGATTAGTTTTATTTAGAATATATTTAAATTTGATTTCAAATTTAAAAAGAGAAAGTTTAAATTTGATTGATTTTATTTTAAATAGGCGTGGATTGGGTCAAAGTGTAAGGGGATAATGTTTCTAATTTATTCATCCAAAATCATGATGGCTGATTTTTGTGATGGATGGCTATGATTAATCTCTCACCCCACAGGTTTTCTAGTTATCCTAGAAGGTTTTGCTGGAAATTAGATAAGGTAGGAGTTCTATTCAAACTAGAATCCTATTCAAATTAGGAGATAAGTTTTCTTCTATTTAAGAAGGAGTTTGAACCTATTTGAGATCTAATGACTAGATCTTATTTCTCTCTTTCCAAAAGATCTCTCTCTCCCTCACAGACCAATTTGGGGAGATCTTTCTCTCTCCCTCACGCACCAATTTGGGGAGATCTCTCTCTCTCCACACGCACCAATTGGGGGGACCTCTTTTTCTCTCTCACGCCACCTTTTATCTCTCACTTTCAACCAAAAGCGAGGCACGTCACATCTCTCTCTCTCTCTCTCTCTCGCTATTTTTATTTTTTTATTTGTCTTGGAAAAAAAAATAGAGGTGACCTATTTTTTCTTGGAGAAACCCTAAAATGAAGTTTGCTGTATTTTTCAAAGGAACAAGAGAGAAGCTTAACTTACAGAGATATCAACCTCAAGATCAGCTCTATTTTGTTCACATAGGGTTTGTATAAACCCTTGGTTATTTTTGAGCTCTCTTAAACCTTAAAGAAAGAATGATAGCCTACAAAGCTATACACTATCTAAGAATTTCCAGCAACACTTTAAGGAGGAAAAGTGCGCCATTAGTCAGGGAATCGGGTGTGGGGTGTACCAAGTCCTAGTTGGGTAACTCCAGAAATCTTTCACTAGGTTTTCCCATTAGTTTTTCTTTATTTTCAGTTTTATTTTCTATTTTTTTGTAATTTTTCAGGAACTTATATTGTGATAAAAATTGTTATAAAAGCTAGTTTAAAGTTCCTAGATGGTTTCTATTTCTCTTGGCAATAAAATAAAGACCCTAGGTTGTATTTAGGGCATTGTTTTTATTTTCTAGCAATATATTGTGGCACATGTAAGTGAAATTCAGGCATTTTGAATAGAAGTAAAAAGAAATTTTTGAATTTAATACCTGGAGTTCCACATAGCCACACCTTTCAAAATATTCATTTTGTAAAATCTTAGCCTAATCATTTTTTCGCAAAATATATTCGCAATCATCTAGAAGGCTTCCTCTTCTTTTTCCAAAATTATCGTTAATCATAATTTTTAATTTCTAGAAGACTTCAACAAAGATGAGGAGTCAACTAGGTGGACCTTGTGGGTCAAGAAAGCCCGGTGGGCCCCACACACCACAAACGTGTGGGCCCATGGCCATTGGGCCCCACGTGGTTCATACACTATATGAGTATGGTCCATGGAATTTATGCCCCTTTTTAATATTTTCAAAACTTGAGTGAAATTTTTATATTCTGAAGATTCATTTTATTTTTATAGAAATTTTACAAAAATAAAATATCAATTACATTCTAAAAATTCATCTTTATCGAAACTAAAATTTCTAAAACATAAATAAACCCAATTAAAAGAGAAATGGATCCACCGGGTTAGGAATATGCATTTATTAAGGCACTCCACTTATGTTAGTTCCCGTTGTCCTCGGTCTATCTTCTCAACCAACCCAATGGAACCCATGGCCTAGCCTATCTCGCAGGGGCTCGTGCTTGGTTCATCAAATCTGACCAATAAATAGAGGGACTGCGATTAAGTGTTTGGATTGCTGGTTCTAACTTAAGCACAAATCTTGTTTCCCCAGATGTCACCCTATTGCAATGGTACAGGGGGTCTTCTCCTTAGCACATGTACATGTCTTATCCCAATGAGTTGCTTCCCATAGATGCGGCTATTATGTTATTATGCCATGCAATGATGGTGTTAAGTATTTGGCCCTTGTCCTTATAAGCGTAAAAAATGCGCAAAAGAGTTCGTCTGGCTCTTGGCTAAACCACCACTAAGCATATTTCTGACCACAACTTCGAAAACCCTCAAGGGTTGTACTTTATGCGCAAGGCTAAAGGGGGTTTGGACCCCACTCCCTGGCCTAGACTGCCCATCCCAGTCGAGTCAATGGAACAAACCATGTCTCCCTAGTCCCACATGGACCACACTCCCACGAGTACAATATCATGCTCTCAAGGCCTTTAAAGCTACAACACCAACATCAAAATTCACTTAGCAGTTAAGGGATATAGTCTAGAAGGCTTGGATTATAAGGAAATGTTTAGTCTTGAAGTTAAAATGGGCACTATTTGAATTGTCCTGTCCTTAGCCATCACTTATGGGTGGGATGTTCAACAACTTGATGTTAAAACTGCCTTTGTTCATGGTGATATTAAGGAAAATTTATATTGAACAACCACTTGGTTACTCATAGTTGACCTAAAACTTAAGCTCATCAAGGCGATATATGGATTTAAGTGGGCTTCATAAGCATGATTTGAGAGTGTTTGCAATGAAATAAACTCATGATTTTTCGCGGTCTGGTGGACTACTCATTGTTCATTTGCACTTGGTCTGCATGGTATCACTGTCTTACCAATTTATGTTAGTGATCTTATTATTACAGAAAGAGCGAGTGACCATTATTCAAACCATAAAGGAGCTCTTAAATGCCAAATTTTTTATCACTTTGCTTCACTGGGGCTATGGATAACTAAAATATTTTCTTGGTGTTGAAGTGGACATAACCAATGTTGTCTAAATCAGACTGGATTGGTCAGTCTCTGCTGAAAGGCAGTGGGGCCTGGTTTGTCCCCATAGTGTAGAATGTCCACCGAACCGGTCATTAACCAAATTGGCTAGACCTGATAGTATTTAAAAATTGCCTTTGTTAATTTTTTTTGAATTTAGGGTCATTTTTCACCCTTTTTTGTATTTAAGGCTTTTTGATTTTTTGTGAGGGCTTTTTGGCTTTTTTTTCCCAAAAGGGTGGGCTTTAGGGTTTTATAAAGCTTTTTTAAGAGAAAAAACTGTGGCGGTTATCTCCCTCCCCCCCCCCCCCCCCCGTCCCACACACAAACACACACACACCCGCCAAAAAAAATCATCCCAACCCTTGCCCTATTTTCTGGCGACTTCCATGGACGATTCTGACCATCATCTCACCTAATTTGAAGCCCTAATAATGATTTTCTTGTTTTGTTTTTGTTTAATATATAGAAAAACTAGAAAACTTTTGGTTTTTTTAGGGTTCCTATTGTAAACAATTCCTTTTCCAAACCAATGCAATGTATTGTTTCTTTTGTTGAATGTAATGGTT